AAGAAGAAGAAGAAGAAGAAGAAGAAGAAGAAGAAGAAGAAGAAGAAGAAGAAGAAGAAGAAGAAGAAGAAGAAGAAGAAGAAGAAGAAGAAGAAGAAGAAGAAGAAGAAGAAGAAGAAGAATTCTTTAGGGTCACGTCTACATGTGCCCTAAAGAATTTTATTTTATTTTTGTGCTAGTATGTTTAATTTGTGTTTTTGTCTTGTATGGACATGTGTCTGAATTAAAGATTTATTATTATTATTATTACGAAAGCAGTGAGCATTATGTTGCGTTCTTAAAATATGTTCGCTTTAGTCAGAAGATTAAATTAAAGTTGCAATTAACGAAATGGTTTTATTTTTCCTAAATTGTTTTCCCTCGAATAATACTTTAAACGTCAAAAAGGAAACTGACAGATTGATTTTTTTAGATTGGTAGCAACGTAGACTTGTTCATAATATTGCTAGCATTGAAAATGACAATTTTTATTCTCCGTTTGTGTATCTAATTAGTCAAGAGTCCGTCTCTTATTTTATATACTCTTTGTTATTGAACTTTACAATTTATTATTTTTTTATTGAATTCATCAATTCTAATTTCTAAATCCGTTATTCCGTCCCTCTAACAGGAATTATAAAAGGCGACTTAAAAGTAACCCATACATATTTTGAACTATGCTTGTAATTACTTTATGGTTAATTGGATGTAAGTGAAGCACTGACCTCTATACATAGACAGGTTATAAGTCATGGGATTTTCTGCCTATTTGGCGCTGACGGTTGCGGTTGGTGGTGAGGATTCGAATTAATACTAGGTTGAATTAACTGTCAGGAACAACAGGCGTTTTCTATTTATAGAATTCTGTGAAGCCAAGGCATATTTTTGCGTAAGTCAATATTTTCGTTTTGTATTTTGATGTTTCGTTAGGACCAAAATTATTGAATGAAATGTATTGCGCATAGGAACGCTCTATATGATAATTTTTATTTCGAGGGTATTTTTCTAATACATGCTCATGTTAAATGTAATTCGATGTGAAATTATATGAATAAATTTCTTTTTAGCATTGAGACTTTCATTTAATTACATTTTTCTTTCATAAAAAAAGAAAAAAAATCGGTATCGTAATACGAAAATTCGTTAAAAATAATCGAATAATTGCAAAGAATTCACAAATTTTTTTTGACAAGTATTTATTTAAATTCAAATACATAATATTAATAATTACCAAAAATAATTAAAGTGTTAGTTTTTATTAATTTCGGCAAACATTGTTATTCCAAGTAATATAGTTAAATTGTTTTTCGGGATAATATTAGTTTTCTGTTCCCACTTCTTTATTGTTATGTCATGTCTGAAACAAAATTAAGTAAAATAGATTCTAAAGCTCGCAGAAAATCATTAATTGAAAAGTTGAAATTTAGTTTTATTAACGTTTTTTTATCAAAAAAGTTGGAATTTATAAAAAAAATTATTACCTTAAAAGATCGCGGCGATCCACAGGTTGTGGATTACCTGCTAGAATAGTGTAAGATGACGGTGCACAAAAATTCTTTAAGACGTTTTTCTTTAATTGACTGAAACGGAACGTTTTTATTGAATTACAACAAATTTGAACTTCTTAGAAAGTGATGCAAATTTAGCAAATACTGTTATACCTGTTTGAAAAGCATCGGAGATCGGGCGGCGGAAGCAGTTCTGAAGAATCTTCGCTGCTCACGAACGCAACAGGCAAAACCTGTTAGATTTATAAATACGGTAAGGGCATTGATTTAACATATTTTCAATGCATTGATAAGTAGTACCAATCATGCAAAAAATTAAAATATACGAGCAAGAATGAGGAGTTTATGTAACATTATATTACCTTTGAAGTTGTTACATTTTTTAATAAATGTTTCTTGTGAAATTTATTAAATTTTGTTATGAAGGCCATTGTTCAATTTAATTTAGAAATTCGAAAACAAATTACTGTCACTGTCATAAATATTAATATGCATTTTTTTGTTTGTGCTGGTTACTATTTAGGTTACCCCTTATAGATTAAATACTATATTCGTTAATTATTGTATTTATTAGCTTATAAGCACTAATTTATCTTTTGAAGTTCTTTACAGTCTTTACGGTGTTAAAATACTGCGTAAAAAGACTCGATTTGTAATGTCAAAGTCATGTGTCAATGTCGTTGTCAATACAGCTGAAACAATGTCATAGTTTTATCATAAAATAAATCGTGTTTATCTATATTTTATTGTGAGAATATTGCAATAATCATGCCCAAACCAAAAGTTGAATTTCGTGATATTTCATTGGGTCTACAAATCATCAGAAATTTTCTTTTAGGCGTACGTATTGTGTTTAGTTAAATGTTACGTAATTTATGGTTGTATATTGTTGTTCCTAATCGATATTTGTTTTTTTTTCTATTTTAGAGGAACTTTACTATAGCCTTGCGGTTCGAGCCGATGTTGTCGGCTAGGACCCAGCCTCAACCAGAGCTTCCTGATGGAGTAACACACAAGTATGCCTAGATTTTGCTTTCTATATCGTCTATGTTTATAATCTCTAATTACCATTTAAAAATTAGAACATTAAGGTTGATTTATTTGACATTGAAGCAATTCAAATCTTTGATGATTGGTTATTTAAAAAGAAATAATTTTACAGACACGCTCATAACTACTACTACACACGAGATGGTAGAAGGGAGATGGCGCCACCTCTGGACCTTACACAACAACTGCTAACTGATGGTGCTGGAAAGGGGTAAGTTTTATGTTACATACACATTTGTCATTTCAATGCATCTTGGCTTATATCTGTGTGTACTTGTATTACTTTGGGATAAAGTTGTCCCATAAGGCCCTTTTTTCAAATATAACATTCACATTTTTAACTTAGAATAGTAGGCAGAAGTTATAAATTTTTATTTGGCGAGATTCTTTCATAGGCTTAATATACTTAGGAATAAAATCGTACAAAACATTTTTTCTTTATTTCAGAGAACCTAAAACTGCATCAGTAAAAATTCCAAAGCCTGGAAATGTTCATCTTTGGGATCAGCATTATTACAACAATTAATTATGCATAAAGTCTGTGCTTACATTTAAAATATAGATTCTATTAAATAGTCAAGGTTGTTTTTCTAAACAAGGAGACAAAACTCTTTAAATTTCCATCAACAACTACTTTACTCTCTTTTTATGTAGTGCAAAATGAATATTTTGATCAGTACCTTACCAAAAATATTGTGTTCAGTTCACCATGAAGCAACCATGAGGTAAGTAAACAACAGAAAGATGTTTCACATTTAAAACAAATGCAGAGGTCTAGCACAAATATTTGCTAGTCGATATACGCAATGTCATTGACTTTGACATATTTTGTTTTGTTGAAAATGCAATATATTCATGATAGACCCTCTGGATGAGTTTTTTCAAAGTATGTTTATTGTTCAAGGGTTAAACAGAAACAAGAAAAAATAAAACATCTTCAGTACAAAAACTATTTTTTTTATTCAATTCAAACATTAATAAAGATTTTTAATAATAGCAATAAATTACTTTTTACATTCGTGACAATTAAAAATGAAATGGTTAGATTTTAGAAAATTCTAATTTTCTTATTTATCAACACAACTTTGCATAAAAAACTCTAGTTAATATTGACGTTTTCCGCAGAATACTAGTTAAAAACTGTATTATTTAACTTTTAAATTATCCAATGCAATATTCCATTATGAATTAATAACTTTTTACTTTCCATACACATCTAATATTATATTTTAGTATATTAGTAGATTAAAAAAGCATCTATTTCAATTTAGCATTATGAAAATATGACCAAATAATTACTTATATAGTAAATTTTCTGAATAAAAACTTTGAAATTATTGAGATATAGTATTCAATATTGTTTTTAGTAAATATTACTTCAATTACGCAATAAAATAAACAAAATTATTGAAATTTGAACCTTCCGAAGAAAAGAGTTATCTTAGATCTCATAAGAGTTACTCTTTTCAGTAAATGGGTCCAATTATTTATAATATCAGGTGGGATTGTTCTGAAGTACTAAGTATTTATAAATCTATAGAAATCTACGTTATTTTTATATTAAAGCAAAATTCAAATCTTTAAATTACAATTTATTGTATTCATATTAATATTAATTCTATCTAGCTTTGCTAGAGAAAGTAAACAAATAGCTTGGCTTAGTCATTAATAAGTGAACTTACTAGTAGCTAAATATTTTTCAAAATAGTTTTTGAGTTCACTTTAGTAGTTTTGTAGTTTATCCTAATTTTTTTTTATATTGTATGATTTAGTAGTTTTGTAGTTTATCCTAATTTTTTTTTATATTGTATGATTTGAAGCGACCAAATTCGTTGAAAAAGCGTAGGGATCGCTGCCCATAGACATCTTCAATTTCAGATGTGTTACCTTTAATCGACCAAAGAAGGACACATAGGAAGAAATGATTCCCCTTCCTATGCATCCTCCGTCAAATGTATTTCCATTTCCCATATAAGAAAAATATGAGAAGGGAAAGAGGACTAAAATTAGACCTAAGACCTGCTTTATATGACAAACTAGCCCCTACTAGTATATTACATTTTATTAGTAGAAAAAAAAATAGATTCTATTATTTAGTCACTTGAATCGGTACTGTCCACTGGTGTTCTAATCCTCATCGTTGAGAAATTACCAAAACTGAACCCTTTGTGATGTCTCCGGGATCTATATCTGAACCTTTGTCATTTATCTTCACCATCAACTTGCTTCCTGAACTGCATCGCATCACCATAGGCCTTCTTAACCGCTTTCCTTTCAGTAGGTTTCCGAGATTCAACCAATTTAGCTTGGTCTAAACTTTTATCTACTCCTAGAACTTCGAGTTTATTCGGTGGCAGCCATTGCCATGTTCGTTTAACATCAAAGAAGAGAACTAAATAAAGTACTGGTTCATGAGAATGGTTTTTCTTGAGGTTTAACACATCTTGTGGTGGGACAGGTAAGGGTACACCATTGTAAATGAATCCTTTTGGTATTTTAGGATCTATTATTAATGCTGGATACCATGGGTAACCTCTGTAAAAGTAATTCGTTGATATATAAATATATTTAAGTCAAAATGCTAAATTATGCACAACCAAGAACGGACAGACCGTTCAGTTTTTTCTAGCTATTTATTATATAGAATCTATTTGATAATGATTAATATTTTTAATTCTAATATTATAAATGCGAATTGTTGGATAGATGGATGGATGTTTGTTTAAAGATATCTTCGTAACGGCTCAACAGATCTTGATGAAATTTAGCATGCACATTGAACATAGTCTGGAAGAACACATAGGCTACTAATTATGTTTTTTTTAATACCGCGCGGATAGTCACGGGCAACAGCTAGTAATATTATAAATGCGAAAGTTTGAATGGATGGATGTTTGAAGATATCTCCAAAAACGCTGTATGGATCTTGCTGAAATTTGGCATAGATGTAGAACAAAGTCTGGAAGAATACATAGGCTACTAATTAAGTTTGTTTTCCCGCGGGCATGGAGTCGCGGGCAGCAGCTAGTTTATTATAGATGTAATTATAATACGTACCTGCATTTAGCCCACACAAGTTGCAACGGTTCCAAATGTGTGGTTGATGGTGTTGCCTTCACTGGAGTCTTAGATGTGGACGACCTCGTGCCACGACCCTTCAAAAAAATAAATTAGATTATAATACAGTCTAATCTGGATAAACTAGAGTCTAAGGGATTGTGATATTTTTTCTCGCATAAAGTTTTGTCTCTAATGGAGGGCATCCGTCTAAAGCTGACAATCTATATATAATTTTCGCTTAAAGAGGTTTTACTGTTTTACCGTTGGTTTCTGAGACCAAAAATTTAAATATAAAACAAATTTTTATCTTTGACAAAACGGAGATAACAATATATTTTTGACGAGGATATTTATCTCGGAAACCCACGAGTAGAATTATTTACTAAATCTTGAAAAAATAATTGGAACTGGACTGGAATTGAACCTACGATTGTTAGATCGGTAGTTACACTTAACCATTAGGTTATTGTCGTATAAATGTATGTATGTCTGTTTGTCACCTTGTGTGTGGGAGGCGCGGGGTCTGCGTGTGCGCGTCGTGCACGTCTCCGCTCACCGCCGCTGCCTTCTAGTGCAGACTCCACAGCTTCGTTATAGCTAGATCTGTTTTAAAATAAAAACATTAACGTTTTTTTTTGTTAGACACCTAAATCTCAAAAGATTTTTACTATAAACAAACTGAATATATTTCGTTAAACCTCGTATATATGAAAATATTTTTAGTAAGTCACAAATCTTTATTATTTTTAATTTACAATATTATCTTACATTTGTTCACAATGTTCCGTTCACACACACCGGGGCGATAAGGTCTGATTTTTATCACAAACAATAGTTTTAATTTGATTATACACGTTTTTTTAACGCTTCGATATAATCATCACCTCACTATACGTCCCCACTGAGGGGCTCGGAGCCTACCCAAGTTAAGGGTGATTATGCCATAGTCAACCACGCTGGCCAAGTGCGGGTTGGTTAACTTCACACATATCGTTGAATTTCTTCTCAGATATGTGCAGGTTGCATCACGATGTTTTCCTTCAACGTAAGAACGTCGGATAAATGTACATATGTAAATCGGAAATCGAAAAACTTTGTTCCAATCACATAAAGTTCAAAATCGATAAATCTTCTCCGGGAAAAAGAGATTTTAGTATAAAAGTTTGTTACCCATCACTGGAGGAATATGAACAGGAACGATCATCATCATCATAATGTGTGCAGGAGGAACACGACTGAGACCACGCGCTGCTGCTGCTGCTGGACCTGCACATCATCAGGGTTACTGACCATTTCCACTACACAAACTTATATTAAAACATATATCTTTTAATATATGAAATATCTGATATTGTATTTATTTATTGAAAAAACCCTAATAATATTTTAAATGCCAAAATTTAGATGTATGGATGGATGATTGTTTGAACGTATCTCCGTAACGGCTCAATGGATCTTGATGAAATTTGGCATACATATGGAACATAGTCTGGTAAAACACAAAGACTAATTAACCTTTTTTTTAATTCCACGCGGACGTATTTTTATTCGTATATAATATTAATTCAAACGAACTAAGCCACGCAGAGTTATCGTCGGTTCTATAAGAAATATAAATCTTTTCGTAGGATGGGAATATAAACAAATATACTATTGTACCTGGAGAGTGCGAGGTCACTATCAGAGCCGACCTCCCCCGGGGGACCGCGGTACTGCAGGAAGGAGGCGGGCACCGGGGTGGCCACGCCCCCCTCGCCAACTGACCTGCAAATATACATTTTATATTTTTATGTATGCATGTATGTACATATGTATATCTGATAACGAAAAAATAATTAATTCTTTTTTTGTCCGACTGTCTAAGTGCGGTTTTATAGCAGTAACAGTAATATCCGTTTAAAACTTTTTATTTTTGTTTCTCTGTCTTCTGTTTTATCAAAGATGACAATGCCAGGGATGACGATATATTTTATACAGAGATTTAGGCATCAGAAACCCACGATTAGCCAGGTAAGGTTTTTCAGAAATAACCTAAACAAGTCGGAGGAGGATGTTTTGTCCTTGTCATGTTTGCGAGGTCTGCCGCGGCCCTTCTTGCGCGGACTGCTCTCACTGGACCGGCCCAGACTTGCTGACAGGGTCGGCAGACATGCTGAAATAAACAAATAATAATTTAAAAGTAGTTGACATATAATCATTTCCAATTGAAAATCTTACTAATGTTAGAAATGCGAATGTTTGGATGGATGGATAAATGGATGTTTTAAGGTATCTCCAGAACAGCAGCATAGATTTGGATGAAATTTGACATGGATGACATTAGAACATAGCCTGCAAGATCACATAGGCCACTAATTAATTTTTTTTAATTCCTCGCGGACGGAGTCAAAGACGACAGCTAGGATAGAGTATTTTTGAATCTTAAATCTTACTAATATTATGAATGTAAAAGTTTAGATAGATAGATGGATGGATAGATATTTGTTCGAAGGTATCCCCGGAACGATTCAACGGATTTTGATGAAATTTGGCACAGATTTAGAACATAGTCTAGAAGAAAATATAGACTTCTTATTAAGTTTTTTTAATTCCGAGCGAATGAATTCGCGGGCGACAGCAAGTAAATTGACTCACCATCAGAACCGAAACTCTTCGGCGCTGCAATCGTAGACGGAGTTAACAGTAATGTCGGCTTTCTGAGACCATTGCTCAACATACTGACACCTGGACAAATAATTCATTAAAATATTACTATTAGTATTAACTAGATGTTTTCCGCGACTTCGTCCGTGTGAAATCCTATAACACGTAAATTATTGCTGAAACGCGTTCATGTCAATTTCCAAGTTATTTTGACGAAGGTATAACATCTACATCCAAACTTTGATTTCCCACTTTAGACCGAGATGAATTTCGTAAAATCATTTCTTACCGTAAGTTTCTGAGACCAATATGTTCGTTTAAAATAAATTGTTACATCTGTTGTTTTCAAAGATAACAACAGGAATGACGGTATGTTTTATACGGAGATTTTGGTCTCAGAAACCCGACTCTATCAGGTAAGTGGTGTGTACAATGATTTTTATATATAGAAGATACTTTGAAAAACACCAAAAGTTTCTTAGCTTCACTCTTCAAGAAAGTCACATATGAAGGCCAAATTGTAAATATTCTTACTTGGGCTAGCATCATTTTGTTTGACTGGCGACTTGTCCGGTGTTACTAATTTACGCTCAACGCTCTTCCTAGCCAACACCGGAGTCTCGGAATCAGATGTTGGCGTCTCTGAAAAAAGAATATAACTTTCAAATATGTCTTCTTTAAGGCATCTTAGTCATTATTACGAAGCAATAGGTACCATTATCATGTGCTGGTCTGGGCACTGATTGGCTAGCGCGGCCCCGCCCCCGGCGTCCGCGCCGACCACGCCCCCTGCCCCGCCCACGCCACCAGTTCCTGTTCACTTTACCAGCCGGAGACTCGTCACGCTGGGGATAAATAAAATATATATGGAAATGATAAACGATGGATGGATGTTTCTTTGAACTTATCTCTGGAACGGTTGAACGGATTTTGATGCAATTTGGCATAAATCTAGAATATAGTCTGGAAGAACACATAGGCTACTTATTATGTTTTTTTTTAATTCCGCGCGGACGGAGTCGCGAGCGACAGCTATCACTGTATTTTTCAAATACTAACTATAGTACCGACTTAATTAATATTACCGTGTTATCTTCAGACAGTCTGCGTGTAGACATGCGTCGTTCACTTCGTGCTACAGACACGCCGCGCTCGCTTCTCGTATCTGAAATATATTTAAATATCCTAAGTCTACTATTTATTGTTAGATAATCCGTCCAACATAAATTTACCTATGTTAATTTGTTTGTTATTTGAAAGCATTAAGAACGGCTGCATGGATCTCGTTCGAATTTGGCATACATATGGAACATAGTCTGGAAGAACACATAGGCTACTAATTAAGTTTTTTTTCGCGACAGCTAATATTAAATAAAAATAAGGCTGCAATAAAATATCATGTTATTCAACGCTGGACGATCGAATGGTTTTACATCTCTTTCTGTCTTTTAAGAAAATGTATTTCGTGAGAGACAAATATATTTAAGTCATACCTGCAGTATGTTCACTCTCACTACTAGATCTCTTTGCTCTACTGCGTGCGCGTGCGCTGCGTTGTATTGAGGCGGTGGAGGGCGGAGCGGTTGCGGGCGGGGGCGGCGTCTCGGCGACTTGGGGCGGGGCCTCGTCAGCGTCCGCAGCGGCGCCCTGCCCCGCCACCTCGCTCAGACCCGCCTCAATCAGGTCACGTCTCGCCTGACGGAAGATGGGCACGCACTGCTCCCGCATCTTTATACCTGCCCTAAGATACGTTGAACAAAAAATTTAACAGACTAAAATGATAATTTATAAATTTTCTGTACATTTTAAAACTACATTTCTAATAAAATATTTATATTATACTAATAATATAAATCCGAATGTATGGATGGATGGATGTTTGTTATCTCCAGACCAGCTGTATAGATCTCGCTGAAATTTGGAGTAGATGTTGAAAATTTTCTGGAAGTACACATAGTCTACTAATTATATTTTTTTAAATACGCGAGGACGAATTTGCGGGCGACAACTAATACTTTATATAGCAATTTTTACAAAAATAAATAAAAAAGTCGTAATATCATGTATGAAATACGTACTTATAGAAGACAGTATCCTTGTTGTTGTAAGTGAGACAGTTGTCTATCATAAGGTTGAAGTCCGTCTCTACATCATCAATGGTGCGGTACGCGCCGCGCTCCAGTTTCTTGCCCATAGTGCTCAAGTCCATCGGCTGCTTCACTACTGTGCTGTAGTCTGGAACCTGGACACCACAAACTTCTATATGTCTTACTAATATTATAAATGAGAATCTTTAGATGTATGGATGGAGGAATATTCGTTAGAAGGTATCTCCAAAACTGTTGAATGGATCTCGATGATATTTGGCATAAATATAGAACATGGTCTCGAAGACACATAGGCTACTGTTTTTAGGGTTCCGTACCTCGAAAGAAAAAAACGGAACCCTTGCAAGATCAATGTATTGTCCACCTGTATGTCTGTCAACACCCTTTTTTTAATTCTTCAATAAATGCGTTGCGTTGACCTTGAGTGATATTTATGTATGCAGATGATGATGATCACCTCATTAAGATCGACCGGCTCGGTGAAGACGTCGCTGGTGTCCCGCAGTCTGAGCAGACGCAGCAGCTTGTGCAGCGCGGCGCGTGCGGGCCTCAGCGCGTGCATCACGCAGCGCTCCCACACGCGCGTGTGCTCCGCCTTCAGACGTTCGCGCTTGCGCACCAGCTCGCACAGCAGTCTGACACACACACACACACATACACACATTCTCCTATATATACATTACACTAACAAAATTAATAATTAGTATATAATGTACAGTCTGAGACACACACATACTCATTGTTTTTATCTTTTACTACCAAAATAAATAGTATATAATGTAAGTCAATCCGACGTTTTTTTGCATAAAATGGTTTAAGAATTACTAACTACTATAAATACTTAAATGTTGTTATTAAGTGTTCGTGTAAATATGTAAATATCTTGTTATAAGGGTGATTAAGGTGATATAAAACATTGAATCCTGCACACATCAGAAAAGAAATTCAAGTATATGTGCGAGAGAAAAGAAGGCGACCCATCTCATTCCGTCTCCAATAGAGGCGAAAAGTAGATTTCTGAGGTAGGTTTGGCCACGCCAAATGGAGTTTCTTGGTCTCTACCTACCCCTCTGGGTTAGAGGTGTAAAATCTTTCCGTATGTCGCATACATATATCACTGTTAGAACTCATTAAGTGGTTCGTAACTTTTAGCTTAAGTGCCTATTTTCTTAATCATGTTATATTTGGTTGTTTTAATATTATAACTAAGAAAATATGAAAATATGTTTCTATTAAGTCCACAATGGCTTAATAGAATGTAACTGGAATGGAGTTAGATTGTGTTAAAAATTAATGACCAAAGTCAAAGTCAAATTGTGTTCATCTCACCTCGCTCGCTCCAGATCCTGTCGTATACGTTGCCAATATTTGAGCTGGTTGCACAACTCGCGTACATTCACTGTGCCATCTTGTATACCTCGGGTACCTGAAATATTTACAACTTTAGATTCAATTTGAACGCGAAACTGAAAGCGCGCGTCGCCGATTATATCGTCATTTCTATAATCGCCAAAGAAAGTCGCCGCAACTTGTTTGTCAAGATTGTCGAGCAAAAGATGAATTTTTAAATAGACATGTGTCGGCGATTACACATTTTATGTACGGGCGACGTAACGATTTACATGACAGGCGTAAAGTGGAAGCAATTCCGCGTTTCGTCTGATGAGTGTGCGTCCCGGAGGCCTAATTTAGTCCTCTTTCCCTTCCCAACCTCTTTCTTATAAGGAAAGGATGGGAAGTGGGAGTGGAATTTCCGGATGAGAGGATGCATGGAAAGGGAAAATATTTTCTTTCTGTGCATCTCCTCCTCATCATCTCCTCCATCGATTAAAGGTAGGCAACGCATATGCAATTGCGTATGTCTATCTATGGGCAAAGGTCACTTCGCTATTTCAGCGATTTCATGTGGTCGCTCGCTCGTTTGCCACCTTATAATATAAAAAAAAACATTGCCTAGTGTACAAAGGGCCTAATAATCAAACCAATTTATATAAACACAGAGATCGGCAGTTATAGTAGAGTTTTCAAACACAATACCTTATAGAAAAGAATACATTACCATGATTAGTTGCTAAACTCTGCAGCCGTCTCAATAAGGGCACTCCATTCCTTGCATGTCTCTTCAATGTCCAGTAAGCCAGCAACCTCTTCATGAGACTGGCGCGTGCTGCTGCTGGACCTCGCAGTAACGCCGCTACATCTGCCACACGTTCAGCACGCAGAGTTGGCACCAGGACTACTGGAGCCCAACTCCGAGCACGAGCTAGCACCCGACGAGCCTAAAATATTTACATGTTAATATTTATACATGGACAGGCTATGAACTGTGTTATTTTGTGCCTATTTGTTAGTAGCATTGGTGAGAATTATCTGTCAGGTATAACAACATGCTTTTTAACCGTTCTTTTTTGAGGATGGTGAACTTTACAATTGTTCTCCACAAAAAAAAACCTATGCAAATTTCAATCATCTATGTATCAATATTAGTAGGAAAAAAAGAGAAAAAAAATATTAGTAGGAAATTAATTTTAAAGCTAAAAACCTGTTTGATTTTATCCCTTCCTTTCTGTCTGATTGCGGACAGATCCGTCGACTTTGAATCACCTTCAGAATCTTGTGCACGTCTTTCCTGAAAACACAATTAGAAGTATAATAGCTAATATTTTACAATTCGTTTAATTTAATATAATTTTAACTTGTATGTAGTTACCTGCAGTATGTGCTGGGGCGTGTGCGCATCGCAATACGCCATCTTGGCGACCTGCACAGGCTGGCTGGGGTCCCGCCCGCTGCCCGCCGCCTCCATCTTCATGTACAGACTGGACAAAACAATATGTCACATAACTGTCATAACATAAACGAAAGATTGTAACATGTGACAGTGTAACATGTAACAATGTAACGTGTGATAGTGTAACAATGTAACATATAACATATATCTCACCCTGCCTGCTGCGCGCATGTGACGTGGAATGCGGAGTAGCAGTTGCTCTTATGGCACTGTATGCAGGCGCCGGCGCCGCGCTGCTTGCACACCATGCACTGCAGTTTCCACCGCGCCGCGGGGATCATCTCTATTGAATCTGTTATACATTCATTTATAAATTAACTATGCACTTAAGGAAATAAAAAAAAGTCACTTTTTAATCGAGTTAGCAGCTCGAAACCTAAAACGTTACAAAAAAATAGATATTTTTATTTTAAATAACACAATAAGATTGCATAGGATGTTACCGACATACCACTCACGTGGTTTATTGGCGTCGCTCTTTTTTTAACACACAATTAAGAAAACCAGAGAACAAATAAAATTAAAATTGTGTAAAGGATGCGGATAGAGGGCAGTGCCCTCTCTCTGGATCTTAACCTGTCAAATAAATAGAAACAACCTATAGCTTACCAATGGGTTCTAAGAAGACTGTGTTAGCAAACCGCACTTCAGGTATCCAGAGAGCGCACACTACGTGCGCCCATGTGCCTTGATCTGTTTGTTTAAATGCACCTGTCACAAAATAGAAATTTCTAGATCTCATCAATTATCATCATAAATTAATCATCATATGTGATTAAATATGGATGGGTTGCGTGATACAAGGGAAATATCAGAAAGTAGAAAAACAGCAAGGGTTAAATTCAGATATAATGGAACCTTTATAGGGAAAGTGCATGAATGTAATATATTTATATCATCACCAGCTCACTAAACATCCCCACTGAAGGGCTCAGAGCCTACCTTTAGGGGTGACTAGGCCCTTGTGGCTTAACTTCACACTTATTTTTGAAATGTCTTCTCAGATATGTGCAGGTTCCATCCTAATAATTTCCTTCACCGTGAGAATGTTGAATTAGTCTATATTTATATGTGTAACTAATGCTCACCTCCAGTATTAGGACATAATACACAGTTAACAAGCCGAGATGGAGACTGCAGACATCTCCTGCAC